ATATTATATATAGCTATAAGAATATAAATTATTTGTTTAAATAAAGATTATTAATAAAGTTTTTAAGATATTAATTTGGGCTTGAGTTTGGGATTTGGGCATGGACAAACTCAAACTATAATAGTTTAGGATTTGGGCAGCAAGTATAGTTGTATATTCAAAGTAACTTTTTGTTGTTCATTCAAATTTTTACTATCTCAAATTTCTCTAAATCAACATCTATTTACTTCTAATAGTGGGATATGATTTTTATCTCGTATTCCATTTATAATATGATTGAAATTATTTGTTTTAGGTTGTAATTATTCTAATTCTCTGATACATTCTTCTCTAAGATCATTAAGTTTTCCTTTATCAGCAGTTTCTAATTTAGATTTAGCAATTTCTTTTAACCAAAAATCTTTTAATCTTTCTATATTAGTTTCATCTTAAATACCTTGTTGAATTTTGTTAAATTCTGCATTACAATTAACTAAAAAATTCAATTTATCTTTTCAAATTTTTTGAAGTTCTTCTTTTAATTTTTCAGTCAAATTTTGACTATTAGTAATTTGCATGTACCAGAATTGAAAGTCTCTCAATCGATCAATTTCATTTTTTTCTTCAATTCTATTCTTTATCTTATTGTATCTAATAATCATTCTTTCTTAATTGATATGTATTGTTTGTAATTCACTTTTTTGTTTTTTGTTTAGATTTGAACTTTGTATTTCATTATCTAAACTTTCACTTTTTTTCAATTTTTTAAGATCAAATATTTCTTGAATCTTTTTTTAAGTCTGATAAATATATTATTACTTTGTTGAAATTGAATAGCTGCTACTTTTGAAAGAAAAAATTCTAAAATTTCATTATTTTTAGTTGGTTTAGGTTTTGAAACAATTAATTTTTAATAATTGCAATTTTGAAACTTGTTGTTTATTTTATATTTGACTTTTATTTTTACTTAAAATTAAAGAAAATATCATACAATTTCTTTATTTATATAAAATTCAGAAAATAATTGAAGCTATAAAAAAATTATTTAAATTGAACAAATATATCAATTTTATTCTATAGTTTATTAGATTAACATAAATTCAAATAGCAAAAATTCATTTAATAATTCAAATTTTAGCAAAAAGATCTATTAATCCATCTAACATCATTTAATTTTTTGAACATTATTTATTTTTTTGAACAAATACATCAATTTTATTTCATGATTTATTTGAATTAACATGAATTAAATAGCAAAAATAAAAAAATCAATTAATCCATTTAACTATTATTTAATTTTTGAACAAATATATCAATTTTATTTCATGATTTATTTGAATTAGTATAAATTTAAATAGCAAAATTCATTTAACAATTGAATTTTAGCAAAAACATCAATTAATTCATCTAAACATCATTTATTAATTCAAACAAATGCATCAATTTTATTCTATAGTTTATTAAATTTAATATAAATTCAAATAGCAAAAATTCATTTAATAATTTGAATTTTAACAAAAAGATCTAAACAATAATTGATTTGAACAAATACATCAATTTTATTCTATTATTTGAATTAATATGAATTTAGATAGCAAAAATTTATTTAATATAAATAAACTATTAATTTATCTAAACAATTGATTTAAACAAATACATCAATTTTATTTATTATTTGAATTTAAATAGCAAAAATTTATTTAATGTAAATGATCTATTAATCCATCTAAACATTATTTAATTTTAAACAAATATATCAATTTTTATTTATAATTAAATCAATTTTAATATGAATTTAAATAACAAAAATTCATTTAATAATTGAATTTAAACAAAAGATTTATTAATCCATCTTATTGTTTAATTTTTATATTAACATAAATTTAAATAGCAAAATTTATTTAAAAATTAACATTTTGATAAAGATTATCAAACTTCAATATAAATATTTATATTAATTTTATTTTATAAATATAACTTAATTTAGATTTATTGTTTATAAATAAAGAATATCATGTCTTAAAATAGTTTATCAGAAATATGCATGTACATTAAACAATAAAGTTAAATAGTTCAAATTAATATTTTATTATAATTACTTGATATATATTTATTGATAAATGATAGTTTATATTTTTAATAAAAAGTGATTTTTTAAAAAACAAACATAAACAAAAAAAAAGATATCTAAAAAAAATTTGTCTAAATCACCCAGATATTTTTTTACTAAGTATTATACACATAATGCCTCTTCAGGCAGATTGTTTTTTTTATCTGTATCTGGATGGCCAGATTTTGCTTCTCTTGTCAATAGAATAGCAGCTAGTATTATACAACACAATTTATTTAATAGTTTTTTGGAAAGGCTTTATAAAAAGTTCAACAATAAATATTTAGAAATTTTAAAAAGCTATAATGATACTAAAACCAAACAAATTTGGATATGTATTTTTTTACATGTTTGTTATTATTATTTTATTTTTTATTTATTTTTTTTTTATTCAAGTTAATAAAATCGAACAAGCTTTGATAAACATAAGAGTTGTATTTGATAAATATGAAACATTTGAACAAAAAATAGACAGAGTAATTAAAGTCAGTAAAGAATTATGACATATAAAAATTTTAATTTTTTTTTATTTTGTTTATTTTGTTTTTTTTTTGTTTTTTTTTTATTTAATATAAAAAATATATATATTTTTTAATTTTATTTAAAAATAAATAAATAAATAAATATTAAAAATATTGTTTGAATAAATAATAAATAAAGTTAATATGGTTTATAATTCCTATATCAAATTTCTCAAAATCTATGTCAGAATAATTAATAAAATTTTTATTATATATGAGTGTTCTTTCATAATGTTTAAATTTATCAGTAAAAAAAATGAATGTATTAATGATAGATTTATTTATTATGTTAATAAATCTAAAAAGCTCCTTATTTTCATCATTAATAACAATTATTGTTTGATTATTTATGTTATTATAATACATTCTTATACAAATGAGAAGCAACAAAAAGATTTCAGAAGTTATTTTGTTTTGTTTTTTTTTGTTTATTAAAAAAAAAATTGATATTTATAAGATTTTTATTATCTCAGTCTTTTTATATTAGCTCTTTTAGGTTTATGTACTAGTATATATTTTGCTTTTTCACCTTTAGAAGGAAATGCTTGTCAATATAAACCTTCAAGATAACTTTTACACATTTTATTATTTTTATTTAATACTCATTCATATTTTCCTTTTTTAAAGTTTTAGGTATATAATTGTAGTAATGAAAAATTATTTAGAAGCACTGAGATTTGATTTTTTGGCACTGATATTTGATTTTTAGATTTAGTTTTAGCTTTAGATTTAGTTTTAAATTTAGCTTTAGTACAAACACATGCAACTATATTTATAATAAATAACAGAATAATAAGAATTTTAAGAAATTTTATTTTTTAAAAAAAAATATCAAATAATTTGTTTATTTATATAATTTTAATTTTTAATACAATAAATAATAATTATTAATCTTCATCAACTTCAATATCATTATCTTTTTTTTTGTCTTTATAACATTTTTTTATTATATTAAAAAGAGTATCTATCAAATTAGTAGAATTAAAGTCAGGTTTTCAGGTAAGTTCTATTTGTAAGTAAGTTATAAATAATAGAATTCTACAATTTTCTTCTTCAGTATTGAAAGTTTCTTCAAATTTATCAGCATCAGCTTCTTCAGCAGTTTTTTTGAACCTATACATCTGGTCAAAATAATTAACTATGATTACAAGAGCATAATTTCCTTGATCGAAAGTGTGAGCATCACCTTCATTATCTTTTAGTAATCTACAAACTTTCAATTTATCAAGTTCAATACAAAACTCAATTTGATGAGTTTGTAATTCACAACCTTCATATAAGATTTTTTTTATATATTCTAAGTGAAGAGTAATATATTTTTGAAATTAAACATTTTTTATATCTCTATCTACAATTATGTCTCCTATTTCAGATTGATTTTGTTCAGCTACAATTTTATTACAAATTTTGATTATGTAAAATTTTATTTCTATATTACTAATCATTAGAATAATTATTCTATTTTTTGTTTGACTTATTTCTAACTGAAAAGTGTTTTTTCTATCTTCATTATGATATGATATAATGTTTATTCATATAATAATATTATGTAATTCGATGTTTTTTTGATTTGAATCTATTTGTTGAAACAATCTTATAAGTTCAAATCTTGAATCTAGATCTGTAAAGAAAATTCTACTATTTGTTAGTTTAGGAGTTATATTAATATTAACTGTAACATCAAGATCTCTTTTTTCTATATATGAATTAGTTTTTTGTAGATTATTACTATAATTCATTTTGTTAAGAAAATATTCACAAATGATGTTTATTTATATATTTTCAGTAAAATAATAAAAAATAAATCTATGCCCCATTTTTATCACAACAATTTGTAATTTTTGTTATTATTCTTTGGTAATCTTGGTCTTGTAAATAAGGAGTCCATGCTGATTCAATATAATCTTTACCTATAAATGAAGAAATACCTGAGTTTTCAGTATCAAAATTATAGTTTTTATTTAAAAAATATGTTTCTCCTTCATTATTAAATGTACTTTTTTTAAAATTGTACATAAAATTACAGTAATCTAAAAACATTACAAATAAATAATTTCTTTTATCAAAAACAGCTGATTCTGTATTAGTTTCTTTGTTTAAAAGACAGACTTGCATTTTACTAAGATCTAAACATATAATTATTTCATTCTCTGAGAAATTACATAAACTACAATCAATTTTTTGCATATCTTCAAGTAATAGTTTAACTTTTTTAGTGTTGAATTCTATAGTTTGAAGGTCTTTATCCATTAACAGATCACTAAGAAGATAATTATTATTTATTTTCTTAAGCAGTTCTTAGTTACAGATTTCTAGTATATAACTTGTGATTATTATTTGAGAGATCAAAGGAGTAATTATGGTTTCTCCTCTGGCTGTAAAGATCCTGATAGTTCTTGTTTTATCTTTATTATGATATGTTATATTTTGTAAATATATTGAAATATCATATAAAGTAAATCTAGTAAAAGGTTCAAAGCCTTTTGTTTGAAAAAGTCTGAAAGGCATTATTCTTTGAAACAATGTATCAAAATAAAATATATGATTGTTTTCTTTTTTAGAACCAAATTCAATTTTTGTAACTTGTGCTCCTAGAGGTCTTTTTGCTTGACATATATTCAGTTTTTCTTTATCTCTACACTATGCAATTCTATAAGCATTATTTGGTAATATTTTCTTTTTTGGTATTTCTTTTTTATATACTGTTTTCTTAGTTTAAACTTGTTTTTTAGTTTTTACTTTCAGCATGTTTTATTTTTACATCTATATGAGTTTTACTTTCTAACTCTTTTAACTAATTTTGAAATTAATAATGATGTTCTTTTTTTAACAGCAGTAGTTGATTTTTTTTTCATGATTTTTTTTTTTGGAGTTGTATTTTTTTGAGTAGCTTTCTGTTTTACAATCTGTTGTTTCTTACTAGATGCCACTTTGTCTAAATGAATTAATAAAAAGAACTATGTTGTGAAATATTTCTTGTACTAGAATATTAGAATGTGATAAAATATATAATATAAACTTGAAATCAATTTCAACAAATTTAAGATAAAATACAAATATTGTGTAGATAATTGCAATTAAAAGAAAAATATGTAAATAAGAAATTATAATATCTATTTTTAGTTTGGATTTACTATATTGTTTGCACAAATCAGAATAATCTGCTATTTAAATTTTTGTAAAAATTAAGAGAACTCAGATATTTATATAGTTTCTGAAAACTCTGATTCATTATTAGGGTTTTTAGGATTTGCTTTCTATATTTTTGCAATTGCTTTCATTGTTTCTATACTATTTTCATGTTGTAATGCTATTTCTTTATAATTATCTCTCATAAATTGTTGATATTTTATCAGTTTCTTTTTTTTTACTTTTTTTTTGTTGTTTTTTCCTTTTTTACATTTTTTTACTTTCAACTCATCAACATTGTACATAATATTAGCAAGTTTTTCTATATTACTAAAATTTATTATTGCATAATTAGGATCATGTTCTAATATTTTTTCAATTAATTCTTGTTTAGTTTTTGATTTTTTTACAAACTGTTTAAGTTTATCATTAAGAACTTTACCTATTTTATTTTACTAAAAAAAATATAAAAAGAGTTGCATATTTATATAATTTCACATTATAGATAAAATAAAAAAGTTATTTGATAAAGTTGATAATATTATCAAACTCATGGAAGATGATAAAGCAGATTACTTAGAATCTTTAAATCGATTAAAAGAAACACAAATTTAAATCTTTCAAGATGTTGAAGAAATACTTCAATAAAAACAAAAAAATATTGATGAATTGATTCTAGTAAATAATGTTTTATCAACTAAATTCAATTACTACAAAACATATTAGTTTTCAATATTATCTGATGAAACCTCTAACTGGTTAAAAGATCTTATTATTGAAGTTGTTGAGAAACATACATCTAAATCATTAAAATAATTTATAAAAATTTCAGGAATTAGAGATCATATATTTAATTTAGTTTTTAAAATTGTTTCATTAAGAATAACTTTGATAATAATAATATTTTTTAATTTTTATTAACATATTGTTTAATTATAATTATAGAATTATTTATTTATAATATTTAGTTCTTTATATTTTGAGTTCATTACTTAAATTATATATTTAAAATAGATATAGTTTGTTATATAATATAATTTATTTATAATTCACATAAGCAAGACTAAAAAGATCCATAAAAATACTTCTAAAATACATTAATGTAAGCCAGAGACCAACATTATAATAAACTATAAAAATTATTATTTAAAGAATTGTTTTATAAATATCTATATGTCCTCTTTCTAATAAAAAAATGCTGCTTTGTGTATATAGTACTATTATTAAATATATTGTGATTATTGTCAAAAAAACACTTTCATAATATTGCTAATAAATATAATATATAAATTTCTAATATTCAGAACACTTATAATAAGCTTCTGAGAATTGCTATATAAAACTAATAAGCTAGAAAAAATTAGTTATTAATAAGATATTAAACAAATTAGATTAATTAATTGAATACATATATTAAGTATTTTCTTTTTTTTCTTTTATTAAACAAAATACAAGACTTATTTATAGTTATGATATTTTTATTATTAAAAAGAACAAAGATTAAAATTAATAATAAAATAAAAAAAAAACAACAAAAAAAAAATATACATCAACATTTTTTTTAATTATTAAAGAAAAAAAAAAAATAAGAAAAAAAATCTAATGTATTTATAAAAAATAATCATATAATTACACAATTATGCCATTATTACTCCTTTTAACTCCTTATTAACTGTTATAATTTTATTCATTTTGCTTTCTAAAGTCTCTGTTCTCTTATATTTAATGCTAAAATTCTTTAAAAAAACATTTGCTTTTTGATTTGTATCAGTTATTATTTCATTATTAGCATTGTTTGAAGTATTTAATTTTTCATTTTCATTTTGTAGTTTATTATTTTTATCAGTTAATTTTACATTATCTTCATTTAGTTGAGCATTTTCTTTCGTCAATTTATCATTTGTACTTTTAAATTATTCATTTTCTTTCTTTATTTCTTTATTTGAAGTTTTTAATTCTTTATTTTCCTTTCTCAAATTATCCAACAAAGCTTGTATTCTGTTTACTTGTGCTAATGTATTTGTGGTCATTATCTAAAAAATAAAATAAAATTTATTATATTTATAAAATTGTCAAAACTTGTTTACTTTAATACTAATATAACTTAAAAATAATATCAATATTTCCATAAGAATTAAACACTTACTTGTAAAAACAAAAAAAAATATTTATTAATTGCTAAACATATAATCTACAAATTAGCATTCTTGATAAAAGAATTTTTTATAGATAGAATAATATTAAACCTAATATGCATTTAACTATATGCACATATATTTTTACAGTACAATATATACATATATAGTTATTTTAATTAATTTATATTGTTATTTAACTATATAGTATAATTAAAATTTTTATAAAAAATTTTATTTATATTATATTGTAAAAATACATAATCTGTAAAATATATTAAAATTTTTTATTTATATTGTAATTTTACAATACAATATAAATAAAAAATTTTTATTTATATTATATATTGTATATATTAAACTTTTATATAAATGCATTGTCTATATTTTTTTTTTAAAAAAAAAATAGTAAAAAAAGTATTATTTTATTTTTTTTTATATATAATATTATTAAATTAAAAAGTTATTATTTTTTTTTTACAGATTATGAATAAGAAAATTATTACTATTATTATTTTGTTAGTATTTTTTTTAAAGTTTGGAATGTGCTAAACTACCCATACATCAAAAAAAATCTTGTTCTATGTGTCATGCTGCAGACATTTATATGTATAGATATAATAAACATACCCATATTAGTGTCAGTACATACAAGTGCAAATGTAATTCTATAAACAAGATCAAGTGTAGTGTTTGTAGAAACCAGGCTACAACAAATGAACTCATGGTCATCACTAAGCTTTTTAAAGTTTTTTTTTAAAAATATGTTTATTAAAATATATATTTTTTTAAAAAAAAAAATTTAAATAAAATAAAATGAAAAATTCAAAATTAATTCTTATAATAATTTAAAATATTACAAATAACAATAAGTACAATACCATATAAATTTTCTTTAAAAATAAAAAACATTAAGATAACAAATAAAAATATGTTTGTTAAAAGTTTCATAATAAAAATTCTATCTTTTTCTCTTTCTTTTTTCTCATATTTTCTCTCCTTTTCTAAAGTTTCTCTGTCTTTTTGTTTTTCTTTCTCTAAAGTTTCTCTTTCTCTCTGTCTTTCTTTTTTTGAATTTCAAGTAAACAAAAAGTAATATTTTTAACTTGTTTATTATAATGATTATTAAGCTTAAATACTTCTTTTTTATAATCATAATGTAGGCAAACTTCTTTTTTTTTTTTTTTCTTTTATACCAATCATTAAGATATTTATTGTCTTGTTTACTAAAAAACAAATAATATTTAATAAGTATTAAACAAAAAAAAATTTTTTAAATCATTTACTAGCTTATTATTATAAAAATATATTGAGATAAAACTAAATCATTCATTTTTATTTTTAAAGTTATTTATACAAATATAATTGTTAATTATAAAATGACATTCTATTTATAGAAAGTTTATTACAATCTTAAATTTATTTTATTTACAACTATGGCTTGTTGATTAAGAAAGGCTACATTATATGAATCAATAATTCTCAAAATTTTATACAAGTAATGTAGCAAACTCTTAACTGTTTATTATCTATAATCAATAATATGTAGGTAATTACAATAGCAACTATTCCAATTAGGATAATATTCAATATTAATTGTTCTTTCTCTATTTTCTAAATTTATTTGAGTATGTAGTACTTGATGCTTAAATAACTAGCTTTTTTCTTGAAGTGCTAAATTTAGCACTTCATCAACAGTTGGACTTGCTTTCAATTCTTCAGCTACTTCTTCCTAATGTTCTTGTTTAAACAAGAGAAGGTAGTAAAAACCAAGATTTTCTAAAGAGGCAAATTGGTTAACCATTCTGTTTTTTTGTTTTTTGGTTAATTTTTTATGATTTTTCTTTGTGTTTTTTTTATGAAAAGTTTTAATTACAGGCATTTTTTATGACAATTTACTGTTTTGATGAGACTGAAACATTAAAATCTTTAACTTTATACAGAATTTTAAAACTTTCAAACAAAGAACATGTATATTAAAAACCA